TACGTGTATGAACAGAGATTTTCTTTTCAAAATCATCTTCATTCATGACGTCACTTGAATGACGTGAAATGTGCCCAAAAATATAAAAGACATACCACTTAGTTTTGAAATTTAAGCTAGCTTGGTTCAAAGGAGGATAATACATGTCAGTTACAGATTACGAACGGCGACACGTGTTCACAAGAGGCATTCACATCTCGAACGGGATGGAACTTCTTTACTTTTTGCGCTTGAATGTTAATACTTACCTCATAAGTAAGGAAAAAGGTTCAACTGGTTCTGTTACGTAAAAAGCTCTGTTTTCGGTATCTTTAAGAAATGAAAAATCTTTTCATATGCTTCAGAACCGGTTTTTGTTTTTATTCAGAGCAATGAATGATGAGGCTCATTGTGAGGAAAATATTTACGTTTTTACTTTAAGCCCGAATGGCAGTTAACTTAGTTATGTCACAAAATTAAAATTAGACTGGTTTTCCATTGAGAAGAAGACAAAAAAAAAGAAAGAAAGAAAAAAAGACGAAGGAGTTCCAGATGGGCAACTGGGACACAGACTTGGTTTTGGATGATGACATTGTCATTCCATCTTGGCAGATATGTGTAATCTTTCAACCTATTTCGTCATTCATTATAAAGATTATTGAAATTCGGAGGATTCATATTTTAAAAGATTATACTTAAAAAATTATGTCTAATTTAAATTTGAAATTAAATCCACTAATTGTACTTAATAAATATTGTTTCTTAAACCAAGATTGAAAAGAAATGAATAGTATTCATCTCTTTCAACTGAAAATATCTATAATTTTAATGTAAATTGGCGGCAAATAAAATCATTTGTTCTAAAATTTAAGTGTTTTGTTATTTATTTTGAACAATATTGAAATATGGATACTGTTACTGACACAGCTAAACATGATACCTAATTTTATTAAATGAAGGTAAATAAACTAAAGTAATAGTTACCAATACATTCTGAGAAATAGTGGTGCATAGTTGCCACCATTTTTGGTGTTGAGTTAAACTAAATACATTTTTAAACATAAAAGAATTAAGAAAATAACAAGCATTCAAAGTCAACAGTTATGCAAAAATAGGGTGCTCCTAACTTCGTAGGAGTGATAAAAGTGCTTAAATTTTTGTTCTAATAAATCACTCAATTCATACCAAAAATTAATGATGCTTTCAAGTGTTGTAAGGATACTAGACTCAGACTGATCAAACAATAGTGTTGTTTTCAACTATCTTTTATGAAAGTAGTGAGATGCTGTAATTTATTCACATGCATATATTGGTTGGAGTTGAAGAATAGATTGCACATGATTGAGAAAAACAGCAATAAAGCACAGCCACTGTAGTCGAGAGATTCGATACAGTTACCTTCATGTTTCAGAATATTTAACGGAACAGCAATACCGCACGGCAAGGAAGGCTCTCTTGGGATTAATTACAGGTTAAACTTTAAACATTATTTTGCTGCACGACGCTAAAATGTAGCGATTGTTGGCAAATGACAAATGGTTGTCACCATGAAATTTCGCAATATGCAGAAAAGTAACATGAATAAAATCTGTGATCTGTGCTGTGATTTTTAATTAAAGGAATACAGCTTGCTTTGTTTTCTGTTAATGGAATAAGTTTTTACCACCATTTTTATGTAGATAATTTTATTTTATAACCGATGTTGAACAGCCGACCTAATTCTGAGTTTACGACTATCGATGTTCAACTTCGTAGTCTTGTAATTGTGATCCCTACCCAGAACTTCTTGTTCAAATGAATCCACATTTGCGCTACATAAGGAAGAAATGCACGAGAACCTCTCACGGTTTGCCCTACGGCAAAGGATTCTAATCCATGATTCGTCCACCACTGCGGAGTGCGAGCCAGGGGTAGAATTTCTAATGACCAGCTAACGCTGGGACCCGAACCTGCGACACCTCATTTGGGAGACTATTCCCTTAGGAAAATTTGCCATAGAGATCTATACAGTTAATTTGTTATTTTTGAGGAATGGACGTTTTATTTATTTTATTATTTTATTTTATTTATTATACAGCATGTCACGATGCTGGATTTAGGAGAAAAGTTTCGCTTGGTGCCCGTCTAAAGACTTTAAACAATGTTAGCATTATAAGTTTAAATTGGTTAACTTTCTGCAAATTATGGAGGGAATGTCAATAGCATTAAAACGGCGGAAACCCAAAATATAGCGCATGTTCATATAGAAATTCATATTCCCAAAATATAGTGCATATTTACTACACATTTTTAACGTTGAGAAACTGTATGATGATAATGACGATGCTTTTCTTCGAAATTTGTTTTGAAAAGAGATGGTTACAAATGAAAACATTATCAGTCAATTATTACTCGATAATTTTTCCTTTTTTTTCGAACTCATCATACATTTTAAATCTTAATTATTATTTAATAAAATAAATTTAAATGAAAAGATCTTTTTCTTCATGCAATAACTTTAAAAGGGAATCATAATAATATTGTAAGCAATTTTACATTTACATTTAGTCAGAAATAAAATAAAGTTCTTTTTAGAATTATTAATATTTTTGATAACTGTATTAATCACATTAAAAAAGAAAGCAGTAAAAAGAAAAATTTTACAAACTGTTTATCTTAAAGTTACTAGTAAAATGTTTTTCAAGTCATTTTAGAATATCATTTATTCAGAAATAAATTAAAAGCTCTTTTTAGAATTATTAGTATGTTTGATAACTATAGTAATCACATCAAAATAGATATCAGTAAATGCAAATATTTAACAAAACTGTTCATCTTTAAGTTACCTCTAATGAAATTTAAAAGAATTCACTAATTAATTGAATGTATGACATTTCGCTAATATTATATGTGCTTTAAATGAAACTAAAATATGCAATGCTTTGAAAAAAAAAAACTAAAAATTTCCTTTTCGCATGAAATTTGTGTGATTTTTTTTCAGACTAGCGTTCTTAAAATCGTTCCAGAGATATTAAAGTCAACACATGTAAAGTCAACACATACGTCAGTGATTGGTTGAGAACAAAAATTTACTAAAAACAACGAAACAAATTTTCTTTACACTTATACTTCAACAAGGTATGTTTGTTCTGATGGAATCTTATAATTTTAAACATTTGTTCTTTATCCTTCGTTCTTTTTTTTTTCTTCTTTTTACAATTGCTCTGAACTTTCCAAATAACAAAACCAGAATGCTTGTTCTAAAATTTTATTCTCGTGTTTCTACGAAAATAAGGTTTAGATAAAATTTCTAGCGGTGTCCAATGTGCTGAATAATGTTTTTTAAGCCTATTTCTAATCTGCAAAATGAAAATAATGATTTGGCACAAATTTTGCATTAGTTTTCTGCTTAAATTGAAGATAAGAAATGCATAAACAAAAAAACAATCAATGAAAGATTTAATTTAGGCAACACAAAGATTATGTAACAGGGGAATATTATTGTAAAGGAAAACAAAACACTGCAATTTGGCTATTTTTTGCCTCTGTTTCCCTCAAATAAGCAATATTATTTTTAAAAAGTTGAATTCAATGTTTAGTATCTTAAAAGTTGAGTAAAAATTTTTTAATTAATAGAAAGCTGTTCTGATAAGGAAAAAAGGTAAATGCTTTATTTTATTTCATTTCGAGCTTGTTGTAAAACTTGTAAAATTTCTTTCATGTCTAGCATGTTTTCAAGAGAAAGAAAAGATCTGTGTCAACCTTGGCACATTAACTGCGATATAAAATGCATACGAGAGTAGAACCATTTTTTTTTCTGAGAAAAATTTTATTCCTCTCAAAAGTAAAATAAAAATAAAATAATTTTATTACCAATTTTCTTTCTCTTTTCTGTTTATGTCTGCCTATGAATTACTCTTGTGACGGTAAGACAATATTATATCTAAATTTAAACTTCTTCATACTTTTTACTTTAATACTACATTGTAAAAATTTTAGTGCATAGTTGAGACAATTTTTGGTGTAGAACAAATTAAAACTCTTCACAGTGGCTATAACCACATTTTTTATTAACTTTTTCACTGTTATATTTTTAATCATTTTTTGCTTGTTTGGTTGTTAGTAGTGTATATTTTCATGTGCATTAGAATCAATTTATGGCTTCATTTAAGAAACATTTCGCTTGAAAAATGAGCATATTTTTAGCAGTATATTCGAACTAATTCGTTCAAACAATTGCTATTTTGTCCAATTTATGTAACTTTTCACACAATGTAGTTCTGTGCTTGAAAAAGTATTTAGTGTACCTCAGCATTAAAAAAAGGCGGCAATTATACACTAAATTTTTTTTATAGTGTATTTATTTAAATTAGGTTAGATTTTTATTTATTTTACCTATGTCTCATTGCTTTGATTTTTATTTACGTCTTTATTGGTTTTTCTAAATTTCAAATGTTATAATATAGTTTGTAATTTTATGTTACTGAAATTATGATTATTACATTTTATTGTAGATTTTCGAAACAATATAACCTTTTTAAAATGCTGACTTGAAAATTTATTAACTTCAAATTTAAAAACGCTATTTCGCGTAAATTAGGGATGAATTAATAAAGAGAAGAGAGTTTTAAATATTTCGAGTTAATAAAGAAAATAAAAATCTGGGCAAGGTAGATATTTCATGAAATAAAGATAGATTTTTTTAAAATTCTAGGAAAAGCGCTTTGTAAAAACACTTTTAAAACGTTCTCTTCCGTAAAAATCATTTTAAATCTTATCCGTGTCAGGTGACCATAAGAAATCGCCAAATTATTATTGACGCCAGAAATGTATAAGTTTCATAGAAGTAACAATTAAAACAATATTTTATCATTTTTAATGAATGAAATAAATTTTTCCCGAGGAACCAATGTACTTAGAAGGTAAGGCTCCACAATTTCGTGGCCAGTTGCGTGATGATGGCTCTATGATGTATTTTTTTTTTTAATCTATGAATAAAAATTCGGTTGCTTCAAATGTTTATCTATGTTATTTTAGGGAGCATCAATGGTAAAAAGGAAAGTAAAAGTTTACATCACGTAGTAAATATCTGATAATGACAATTAAAAAAAATTTTTTTTCTTTAAGAATGGAGCAGAAAAACGCAAAAGAACTCTCAAAATCTGTACCTTCCTGCGAAGAAGAAAAAGACAGAATACAAAAAGGTTTTTGTCATATTGATAGAGAAATGATTCGATTTAAAGTACATTTCTTTCTGTTTTATGGAGGTAAGGCACATACTTCTTAAATTTATAAATACAGGAAGTACTGTACAATATAAAAACTGTGGTGTAATACCTATCTGAATTTGATGTTTCAAATCATTTGATGTTGAAAATTAGTGTGTTATTTCATTTTAATACCAAACCGAGCGTTTATACACTCTTTAACGAGTGTAATTAAATCTAAACTCTAGTAAATGAGAAAGCTTTCACCAAAACCAGATGCAATCAGATATATTCGCTTACGAAAACACCAGCATTGGCGCGTTTTGGATTTCTCCAGTGGTTTGTTTTTGTTTACATCCAGTAAAAGTTGGCGAGAGTTAGTTTTCTTCCTCCTTGCCATACAGTATCTATGGAAATAAAAGTTCGCCGTTGAAACATGTATATGCGTTTTTAGTTGTGTAATAAAGATAAGCAAACAGGGCAATTCAAAATTAATATAACGATTGCAAACGGCTATAACTATTTTATGAAAAAGAATTTATCAATAAAATTTATATAGAATATAGAAATAACTTCAAAATTTTGCATACATGATTTTCTATGTGACTTCCATATCCAATAATTAATGTCAAAAGTCATTCACTTCCGACGAGTCTTGAGAATAGGCGCTTATATTTGAGAGCTCGAAACATGTCTACTTTTAGTTCCCTCTTCATATTTTTTGAAACCAGTAAAGGTTTCATCATCAATTATACTGTTTGGTCTTGACTACATTCAGGTTTGATCATTATTTTGATAGGGATTTTCTGCTCGTAAAAGTAAACATATGCATTTTAATATTGCAACAGGATTCATGTGGTCATTAAAAAAGTAAGAGAACCGTAGCATCAATATTGTAACTCTGAAGTTATCTGTAACTTTAAAATTAAAATTTTGTTACCAGATATTTTGAGGTAATGAAATTGAATATTTTATCTTTTAAGTTTTTGTGCCACCATTTCAGTATCTTCATTATCAACATGAGGAGCATTTTTTTCCAGTACATTTTTTCTTTAGACAAAATGTGATAACCGCTGAAGAATATAATTTCTAGAAATTGCTTAAATTCATCAGTTTTTGAATGAAATTCTTGATTATTTTTTGTCTAGCATGCTTGTTTCGTCTACAGTTTTTACAATCATATTTTTAGCAATCATTTCGAAAATTTCCACAGGTGATTTTCCTAAAGTAATGTCTACTATTTTTTGATGATGTTCACTATAAAATAATTCAGGAACTGACGAAAATTTGGGTGTCCAATTAATCCATTTTGGTGATTAAATATTTATTTATTCGGTAGTTATTTCCTTTATAACTTCAATAGTTCCTGCAGTTTCTTCTTGTGGTTTTTCATCAAATATAACATGTCCATGTTCAACGCTAGTGCAGGCATCATCAATATCTTCATCATCAGTGACTACGTCTAGATCAGGTGTCAATATTACCATTTCAGGGTCACTATCATCAAATGCATCGCTCAATGACATTAAATGGTCATGAGCCTCTTCAATTGTTAAACATCTTCGACTCATTTTCGACACTTTCTCCCCAAAATGGATACGCATTGAATGCAAAGCTCACCTATAAGTTCATACATTTCCCTCCAAAAGATAGCGACACCACGTGACTAAACCTCGTAACCAATGGAAGTAATTCTAAAATCAAACTCTGGCTTTTTGTTCAGATAAACTCGGATGTAATTGAGTTTCGCTGGTGGGAACCTATAGTAGGGGATTTTACCATTGTCCTCTTTATAGGACAGCATCTAAATCACTTGTAAAACCAGTTTAAATATACATTTTTCTATTCAGTTTTTACTCAAATGTAATTGTCGATCGAAATGGGTGGCAGGTGGCATAGAGCAGAACTCTCTACCTATGGCAACACTTCGCCTGCTTTCCCCATTAGAGTGTGGAGAATCATACAGGAAGGAAGTACGTTAGTTTCTCTCATATAGATTTTCATATAGATTTTCATATAGATTAAAATCTTTTAAGTCGGAAAACTATATGGAACTGAAAACTACATTAAACATAGTTCTAAAGAAAAGCATCACGGAAATTTAAAAAAAATATTTTTATTGAATAAAAAAGGAAAAATATTAAAAAAAGGGAAAATATCGTAGTACATTCCTATGCAACTGAAAAGAGGAGGGGAGGAAAGGGAGAAGGGCCAAAGGCATGAAACCGGTCTCTACCCAGATGGCGTATTCGAGCGTTGCGGTTGCAACGCTAGAATTATAATTATTAAAAATGAAATTTTAATTCGTGTCAAATAAAATAGTAAAAAATAACTAATTTCGAAAATATATATAAAAAAAGCTTAAAATTAATTATAAAATGAGTCTAATTAATGTTTATCTTTCAAAAATTTTATTTTAAAAGCAAAAAATAATCAAGCAATAAGACATTAGTTGTAAAAATTCAACAAATTGTAGCTGTCCTCTATGTAAGACGATGGTAAAATACGGGTTTTAAAATATCGTCTGTAATGATTTAATTTGCATACTTGAAGTCATATCTTTGAACCTTTAAGATTGAGTTTTAGAACGTGATTTATTAGTATTTATAGAGCAGATGATACTGGAATTATTTTTAATAAAAGAAAATTTAAATTTAAAATTCATTACTTATTCCTTTAAGTGCCAAAGCCATGCTCCACCTCACTAAAAAGTACTGGCATGTTGTATCAACACGTTCCGGCCCCACTATACCCTTTTAAAAATGGTATTCAGCAATAACTATTAAGTGAAACATTGTTTAGATAAATTAGATAAAAAGTACACACGTTAGGAGTTGTATATTCCAAGAGATTAGTAATGTTTTTTTTATTGCCGCAGCACCGGAAAAAAGCACTGTTAATTTCTTTCATGTCTGCAAATTTGAAACTCAAGTCACATTACCTGTGGGGTGAACAGTTCCGAAAATTAAAAAATTCTTTTTAAAGTTTTGCCAAAAATATTCAAATCTGTGTCAAGGTTTGTTTAAGATAAATTAAATTTTGTTGCTGGAGTTATTTATCGTTTACTTTATATCAACAAAGTACATTAATACGTTGTTGATCCCCACTACGAAGTCAATAATAATAAAACTGCTTCAATTTTCTTTTCACATTCTCCCCCCCCTCCCCCCCAAAAAAAGAACTGTCTCTTCTGATATGCGTTAGTAACAGCATTTTTAATTATAATCTACGAAATATTATTTTATGTACCTGCAAGGAAATAATAAAATAAAATAGACGGATAATAAACTATTTTTTTTTCAAACGAATAACAAAGTGAGGTCCATTGCGGGCCTTACGTACAATCAAAGCTTTTAGTTTAGAAATATTTTTATGAATAATGGTATTTCAAGGAATAATAAAAAAATACTATTGCAAACACATGCCAGAAAAGTTTACTGTAAAAAAAATGGAAATATTAGTAGAAAATGTAAGAGGGGTCTAATCATCTTACTTCGCCTTGCCAAAGTTATTCGCTTCTTTGTTTTCCCCGCCCCAAAATTGATTGGTCAAATTTGGAAACTCTTCTTTTTCTTCAACACTGATTCTTTGTCTTTAACGTACAAAGTTTTTTGATTTTTTTCTGACAAGAGTTTTAAAAATATGTGCTGGGAGCCGTTCATAGCTAGGATCAGGAGCATAATTTTGGGTTATTTATATGCAAACCATAAAGTTATCCACTATTTAGTTTGAATTCAAGAGCAAAAAAACTTGACATCCTTATGATGTGCTAAGTGTTATATTCTTGGTGATGTGCTAAGTTGTTCTAAATTTTAACATTTACTAACATGCATTTATTCACAGCTAATAAATTAACATTAAAATGTTTTGCATATTCACAAATATGCTCAACTTCTGAACTAGGTAACTCTTTTTTTGCAGCTATGGGAGCTATACTACCTTATGAGCCTCTCATCGCAAAGGATTTAATCGGAATTTCTGCAACATCTTATGCAACAGTTTATTCTTCTCAGTTGTTCATTACAGTTTTTTCTAAAACAGCCTTATGCTACATAGCAGACTATTTCAAGAGGGTGAAAATAATGATAAGTCTTCTAATCATCGTGCATTGTCTGTGTTTCTTATCGATTCTTGTTATTCCAAAAATTGATGTGTCAGCAAACTTGAAACAAAACTCAACTTTGTTAAACCTTTTTGAAGAAGGTAGAAATGGCACAGAACTTTACATTATTTCATTGTCTTCAGGCAAAGTTTGTAATAGGTCTTCTAATGACTCCAACTTATTGTCGATGACAATAGTCGAACGTAGACATTCAAAAAATGGGGAAAATGTCACACAAATAAGTTCAGAAATAATCTGCATTGCAAAGTCAAACTTTACTGATAAAACATTGTGTTTTGAGTTAGGGAATAACACAAAAGAGGGCGAATTGTTGAAGACTCATTTACCTTTATGTTGCTCAACGTATTCAATGCAATTAGAACAATACAAAACACAAATGAAAACGATAACGAACTTTTATTATTTACATTCTTTGAATCCAGAAATTTCTAATGATAGTGTCACTGCTTCAAAACCTTGTACTGCTACTTTTTCTGATGAATCAAAAAGCACTGAAAAATATCTAAATATGAACAGCTACAAAACGTACCAGTTTTGGCTATATGCATGCATTATGATTATAGCGGGAACTTGCTCCAGTTCAGCATTTACATTGTCTGACACAATCTGTTGCGAGAGTGTGCAAAAGTTCAACAGAGATTTTGGTCGACAAAGAATGTATTCTGTTATAAGTTGGGGTATTTTTGCTCCGTTAGGAGGACTTTTATGTGACCTCACAAATGGATTTTTCTCAACGTGGATCCTTATGGCAGTTACGCAAATCTTGGTTATATGGAATTTATACAAAATGGATCTCGTTGTACCTCAATTTTCTCAAAACTTAACAAAAGATGTAGGTACAGTTCTTAAATCTAGTACTTTTCTTGCTTTCAATGCCGGATCTTTCGTAAGTGGCATATGGGGTGGTGTAGTATGGTATTATCTGGTTTGGTTCATATCCACATTGGGAGCTAGTACATTTCTCTGTGGTTTGGTCCCTTACGTGCAGTGCTTTGTCGGCGAAATACCTTTGATGTTCTTCTCAGGATGGATTATTGAAAAAGTGGGACACTTCAATATACTATCCTTGTCGCTTCTGGCATACGCTGTCAGATCTTTATGGTATAGCTATCTTAAAAACCCGTGGTTGGTGCTACCAATGGAAATTACTAATGGCATAACATATGGACTATTTTATTCTGTCGCAGCTTCCTTTGGAAAACTTAGTTCCGAACCTGGGACAGAAACCACAACTCTGTCTATTATTTTTTCAACTCATGAAGGATTAGGTAAGTTAAAATAAACTGGAAACAGACATGATGAAAACATGATTTTACGAACAGGGTAGATACTATTCTCTTTCAAAATAAATTATTTAAACTAATTAATCAGGCGATTACCTGAACTATAGATTTCAAAAATAATGTTACTGGGAAAATTTCCAAGTGTGAATAAAATTTAAAGTTTTTTTCCGTTACATTTGAAAGCTTTTATTTTTAGTTTTTACTTAAAGCTTGCATGGAATGCAAAATGTCAGTAGTGCAAGGAATATAATGTTAGAAACTTTGATACTTAGGCCCGTATTCAGAAACCATTCTTATCGTGAATGCTTGCAAAAGGATTACCAGATGTAAGTTATAGATCTCGTTAATTCAAGTAATAAGTGTATCGATGAAAGCTTGGCAACACGTGCATGTAAAATTTTTAAGTAGTAATAAGTAGTTGCTACTATTGAAGCTTCGATCCTGGTATAGTTCAGAATGGAAAAAGAAGAGAATCAAACCTGTGTTCTTGTGATAGTCTGTAAAGACGTCTGCCTTAATTTTATCGGAAAAAATATGCACTTTTTGAAATTGCTTTTTTAATTCATTTTAGAAAAAAATTTACTTTGAAAATTCGTAGAGAACCACTTAAAAACCCTTTAGCTTCAAAATGAATAACAATTTGTGAAATCAGATAATTAAAATATTAAAAAAAAATTTTTTTTGATATCAAGGTTTCCTTTTACACATGTTCCAATTCTTTTTATTAGGGAGATTTTCTTCTCGAAATCTTTTAAACGAGCGTGAGCAACTTTGAAGTTCATACAAAAGAACATACATACGTGTTTTCAAAATTTTAGTACCCTTTTGTTTATGATTTAGGTAAAGCTTTTACTAACTATCTAATAAGCAATTAAAATAATGATTTTAAATAATTAGGTGTGTAAGCATATCTGGACAGTAAAAATTAAGGAAGATTTTCCAATAAAAGTATGAAAGCAGTATAACATGTAATTGTTTGTTGTGCAAACTTTGTTAAAGACTTAAAACTACGGCATGAGGGAACTGTTTATATTTTTTTTAACATAAATGATTCATATTCCTAAATTTTGTGATAAAATTTATTTGAAATTAAATCATTTATACTTTAAAATAAATGAAATGTATGAATTTAAATTGAAAAATATTTTTTAACTTGGTGATATATAAGCTAAGGACAAAATCTTGCAAAATGGTTTCAAATTTCCATATTTTTTTACAAAAACACATCATACTTTTGGTTCACTCTGTGGATTTATGATCGGGTGTACCGTATTGACCTCCCTTTGTATATATTTTAGAATTTTATTAAAAAAACTGAAATAAATACAATTTAATGTTACAGGTCGCATAATAATATTTAAGTGAGAAAAAATCTAATCAGAGTTTGACAATTATCAGACCATGCTGTCAATTAGAGCAAAGCATGGATTAAAATTCTCGAAAGCCAGTTTGATAGTCTAGTGGAACTGGAATGCGTTTCAACTTCATTTTCAAACAGACAAGTTTATAAAGATTTTAATACTTTTAATATTAATTCTTCAGAGTCTGGTACCTACACGTCTTTACGTTTTTCTCACTTAAATATTAATTTGTGGCCTGTTAAATTTGACTTCAATGTGTATATAGATTACAAAAAATATACAGGGTGCTGCATGAAAATCATCCTAAATAGATTTTTATCAAATTGATCTTCCTCAAAAATGAAGAAAAAAAGTTATCAATTTTTATATTTAAGAGAAGAAAAACAATTATATTTTCGAAATTTAATGAATGAACATTAAAGGAGGCTGATATATGATATTAAGAAAGGAAACAGAAGAAGAAGAATGATTCAAGTTTATAAATTATTTGTCCCGAAGTTCATACTGAGTTTTTTTTAGTTTTAAAAGTCTGTGGGGATTCTATCACTGCTATAATTCTGGTAGTGGTAGTTACGCCACAATACTCCCCCACCAGAATTTTATCAGAGATAGAATTCGACGAACGGTTTCCACTTAGTTGCTGTTCTTGTGAAAGACCAGGAGAACTGGAATTAAGATCACCTGGTTTTTTTGAGTGCTGAATGTGAGAGGTGTATTAACTTCACAGACGTGGTCGCTCCTGTGTTGCCTTTAGCAGTCGTGTGTATGCTGGCCGACGTTGTGTGTATGTTCGAGACGAGACTGAGCAGCAACAGAGTGAGGAGGTGGATGATGCCGCTATCACAAGTAGCAAGTCAACTGTTCAACGTGGATCAATCATTGAAGTAGGCGTTACTGTTAAGATTTTTGCGAAGTGGGCGTTACTGCGTGTACAAATCATGTCCAGAGGTAACCAATGTGGGGATTGTAGTTACAGACCATGTCAACCTTCATATATCAAAAGGTACCTCGTGATTGAATCAAGTTAGTATGTCTTACATACCAGTGAATTGATGTTTAATATTCGTAGTGGTAGATACGCCACAGGTCAAATAAATTCAAGAACTTAGCGGACTTGATGCTAATATAATTAAAGTTATGTTGTTTTTTATTCACAATTTGTTTAATTCTAAGTGTAGTTGTCTATGTACTTTTAGGGTTAGTTAGTTTTCTAGGTACTTCACTTATATAAAAATATCTAGTTAAAGTGTTTTTAAGTTTTCCACCTATTCATACAAAATTTATAGATATTTAAATTCCCTGTTTAAAAAATAGTATTAAATATTAAGCTGTTGCAAAAATTAATTCTTTTTCAGGAGCTGGTCTTGGATGTATTTTAGGTGGCATTGGTTTTGACTATCTCGGGGGTCAGGTTACATTTTTCTACCTTAGTCTACTTGCTTTTGGTTCCACATTTCTCAGTGTTTGCGGCACGTTATTTGTTAGTAAACTTAACGTAGTCAACACGGATATTTCTTCATCCTCAAAAAAGTCATATAATACAATGATAACAAACTTCTGTCTATTCAAACCTTCACGTGACATGCTTTCAATCGAGCCACAAGCCTTGCAGAAAACTAATCCTGTGGGATCAAGTGGTGACGTTCATCCTGATAAAAATATCATCCTTGTGAAATTTGAAAAAAAATAATGACTAATTATTTTTGTAGTTTTTAACAAAACTTTTACATTGACTAATGTGTTTTCAATATTGTTATTAGTGGCATGATAAAATGGCAATATATTAAAATAATTTTCTATAAACATCAAAAAATAAATCATTTGTGTGCATGGTACTGTTCTTAGCAACTGTAATTATGACTGTTAGCACAATGCTATTAAAGTTATTTTAAGTAATTTGTCTCACGTTTTATTGCATTTGCCTTATATTTATTAAATTTATTAGAACCAAAAGCGGATTATCACTTTTAACTGTTGAAATAAATTATATATAGGTTTGACATCAAAGAAAACAGAGTAGGGGAGAGTGGGATCAATTGTAATATTTCTTACTTAACTATTTTTAACTAACAAAAAATCCAATATATTATTAGTATTAATTGACAGACGAGTAAAGTAGACTATCCTCTACTAGAAAAAAAAAAAATACCTTATTTTAAATGTTATTATATTAGTTATTAACAATTTTTGACAGTCGTGCACTTGTTACAATTGTCCCCACTTACGGGGTCAATTGTAACAGTTCATAAATTCAACTAAAACATAGTTAATTATACATATTATCATAGTTGTGATATATTTTTTTATTGATCAAAATAGTAGTGATATTTTAGGAGTAAAAATAATAATGAGCAGAGACCTAAAGGGTTAAACTTTTAACTTTAAGGGGTTAAAAATTTTAATTTATGCTGTGAAAGGTGACAAATAAAATAATGCACATGCAACATAATATAAATGATATAGGAAACTATTGGTGGTTCTTAAAGAGTTAAGTAATGGTTTGTAAACATAAGATTATTTATTTTCAGCTGTTACAATCGTCCCTTTACTTATTGTTACAATCGTCCCCAAGACGCCATTTCAGCTTCATTTGTTAAAAACAATGCTAGTTAATTAACAAAACTAATTTTTTTTTATTGAAATGTTAATTAAGGTGTCCACTTACATATTCGGTTAATAATTTTTATTTGTTTAAACAAAATTACTTTGTTTCTATATAATATTCTAATACCAAAAAAAGTATTTACGTAGCGGGAAAATATCTTTTATGATGTAACTCTTTCAAAAATACATAAAAGTGGTTGCCAGCAGGGGTGTACATGTAGAATTATTAAATACACCTTGTGCGCCACCTAGGAACCAAATCTAGAACCCGACACTCGAAATTTTTGCTCCGTTACAATCCTACCCTGTTACAATTGATCCCACTCTCCCCTACGACTTCTAGGGCAAAGATGTAAAATATCTTTCGTTTCCCACTCAGGATGTCTCGGGTATCAGGATCAAAAAATTCTTTCATTTATCTAAGAGATTAATTTACCAAAAAGATCTCTAATTTTTGAAGAATTTAAAATGCTTACTTAGACTTAAAGTCTTAAGGATTCTTGTTACATTATTTTATTTACCATTTCTTTAAACCCTAATAAAAAGAGATTATCTGGCAGATTAAAAGAAGTTTCCGGAACCATACGCTCTTAAAGTAATATTTGTAAGATGTGTGCACAGATAAGAAATACCAACCATAAGATTAAAGAAACAGTTGCTAGTTTAATGAATTCATTTTGATAATTACGAGGAAGTAGGTACTGCGGAAGTATGGCGGATATATAATATGATGGTCATGCACTGTGTGATGATTCTGAAGATTCAGAAATATCAAAAGATTATAGTACAGAGAGAGATATTAAAAGAAAAAAATGATGAAATTGAAGAATTTCTGAAGCATGCAAAATCTAATGAGGGAGCAATTATATTGAAATTGTTTGAAGTAACTGTTTTCTGATCTAAATACATGTTAAACAGCTTTTAAAATGTCAGTTCAGTTATTAGTTTGATTTAAAAATATTAGATTTTTGGTATCACGATAATGCGATATCACTAAATTCTTACAGTATCTCATCGAGTTCGTACTGTCGAGGTTTGCTGGTGTAATTAACTTACTTGTTGGTTTAAAATTTCTTATCAAGTAAAACGAAACTATTTCAATTTAGACTAATTTTTTGAATCAGTAAACTGCCTAATAAATGCATCTTTGTTTGCGTTATCTGAAAGTAATGCAAGAAAGGCAGCACATAATCTCGGTTTTTTTCTTTTTTTCTTTCTTCCCTCGAATGAAAAAAACAAGACTGAACACTACATCACCATAAAAAAAGAATCCCAGTCAGAAGGATATTTTACATTGGTTTCAAAAATATTGAAAGAGAAAATCTCGTTAATCCCACCAAAATAGAGTTATTTCCGCCTTTTTGGCATAAAATTAGGTCTAGTAATGCTTTTAGGACAAAGATATCATAAAAGCTACACATGTCTTCGGAATAAATTATTTATAACTTGTAAAGAAGTCTTGTCTTCTCAAAGCTGCAGGGATTAAGAAAGGGGTGACCCAATCTGGAAAGGGTAGATACAGTTGATAGCAATTTTAGAATTTTAAGGGGGAAGAATTGGAGGACCATTATTAAAGCGATGTTTACCTGGAAATCTCTTCATGGGAAAACCTTGTCCCACCCCCGAACTTTCACGCTACAGATCACGAGGAAACAATTAATCTTTTCCAAAGGAAAGTGAGTTCTTTAAATACTTATGTGATCTGTTTCTGATTTAATTTAAGGCAGAACTGAAAAAAATGATATTTCAACGGAAACAAACGAAAGAAAAGTCTAGAAATTTTTCAAATTAGATATTAATAGTTTTCTTGAAATATAGCGTAGAAGAGGTGAGGAACAATTCCTTAGGTTGTAGTACAAGCTTAAAAGTTCATTTTCTCGACTGACCGAAGATTTCCCCTATGAATGGAGGTGTTCAAATCAAGATATACAGAAATGTCGGCTGACAAGGAGTGCTACCAGGAGATAATCCCGACAAAGACTACGAGAAGAAAAATGGAATAAATTTTATTTTTAAAATCAGCACTAAATATATCATAAAAATCAATTTTCAAAATTAAAAGAATGAAAGAAATTTTTTTTGCAAGTCTGTGTAAATAATAGCCAGAGAAAATAATTAGCTAGGGGTGCTCAACCTTTTTCAGTGAATGGCCACTTGCATTGTAGGTTTATTAACGAATCTCCGTACTCGTATATTGACATGTTGACAGCAAATATGATAATATTTATATAAACATTAGTATTCTAGGTGCTAATTTTTTTTAATAATTAATCTTATTTTAACAATCTTTATTTAATTTAAACGATAATCTGAATTTTTTATCTTTAAGTAATATATTTTCAGAGAACTAAATGGTTGTAATTAAAAAGATTTGCAAAAATGAAACAAATTATAATATTTTTTTTAAAAAAAATCTTCTCTATTTTATCATATCAAAAATAGATTTATCAGAAAAAATAAGTAAATTAGTAAATAAATGAAAACATTGAGGAAAATAAATATTTTTTTTACCATATCAAGCGACACAAAAGTTTCTTTCAAAATAATTGTAGCAAATAAAAAATTTTTTTTAATGTTCTCAGAATTAAAATGTATATTATATAATATTATAACTTATATTACTCATTAAAATATATAAATACATACTTTAATGAGTAACATAAACTGGAATGAAATATTTCAACAGAGGAAAATTTGTAAGGTTTAAACTAAAACCAAAAATTAAAACTAAACTGTGTTATAGTACAAAATAGCATTATATATTTATTTGGTAATATGCTTCGAAAATTATTTCTATTTATTGATTTAATAGAGATTTCAGGAATATTAAATTGTAAACTTTTTCTTTTTTTCACCTAAAAATATCATTTAGACAACAAAATATTGAAACTAAATTACAAGTAGTGAGAGGTTTAAAAATTCGCATTTCTCTCCACATTTTGAATTTCTCACATTTCAATAACAATGTATTGAAATTAAGGATGTAAGGAGTATTCGGTCCTTTTTTCAGAAATTCAGTTGGCCGAATGTTTGACAAAGTAGTTTTTTTGGAATTTGTATTGATTTAATAAAGAATAGTTTGCGTGTCTTTTATGAAAGAATATAAAGTACCAGGACCGGAGGTTATTGATGGAATCAGCAAATCGAGGTTGTTGTAAGCAGTCTGACTGATGCATTGCCTTGTTTTTGTTCGTTTGATTTTGGCAACTTCTTATTATTAATTTGTAGAAAATATATCAATAGAAGTGTTCTTTTTTTCCGTCTAAGTTTGTCTTATGTTATAATCTTTATTAAAATATTTCTTTTTCTCAAAATGATTTGTTTATTTACAATTGCAATTTAATTTCAACACGTTATCAGCACGACGCTCTGTGTAAATAAATATCAAAAATTCGGATCTAAGAAGATAGGCAGCACAATAATAATCGCCGCTATGGAAGAATACAAATTGAAGAAGTTGAACGGCGAAAATTATCATGCATGGGCAATACGTGCCCGTGCACTGATGGTGCAGAAGAAATGCTGGGAGGCAGTTGAGCCTGGCTATGGACTTGCTGAAATGTCCGAAAATGAGAGAAAGAAAAATGATGAAGCTTTAACTCTAATGTTCTTGATTGTAGAAGATACGTTTTTGGATGATATTGGCGACTGCGCCAAAGCGAGGGACGCATGGATTGTATTGAAGGATATGCATACCAAATTTGGCTTACTGCATGTTTTACAATTAATGAAGGACTTTTTTAACATTACCTTGAAGCCTGGTGAAACAATTCAATCATATTTGACCAGATTGATTGAAATACACCGAAAATTGTCGAGTGGTGGTTACGCTTTCACCGACAGAGAAGTTGCCCT